ATCATTCGTCGAGTCAGTTGGCTCGTCCAGCTCTCATTACGCGACGCTACTTCAACAGGGGTAGAATGATTTCTTTTTTTGATGAACACGATTGTACCTTGCACGAAAGAAAGCGTCAATGACGTCACACTATTTCCGTGATGAAGGTCATTACCATGGGCACAATATTTGATATCGGGAAGCAACTTTATTCATGACGCACTCTCCCATCCGGGGGGGTGTAACACGCGGCGTGAGTTTTCTGTCACCACGTTTTGATATTCTTTCAACAAACGATACAAAGGATCCGTAAGATCCCTGATGATTATTGTCTCACTCATCGCACTAAGCGTACTTAATAACAGATTTACCCAGTAGGGAGAACAATCTTGGCTCGTCCTCCAGCTCTAATCGTACCATTTGGGTGGCCTCACCATATTGCATTTTCTTGCACATATTCACAAGGAATTATTCCTTCCGACCTTTGAACGTTCAACAAGAGATTATAAGGAGGAATTGTAAAGCCGATAACTATTTTAGTCATTTCATTCATATGCGTATCATCGCTCTCGTCACTTACCGTTGACCTTTACTGCTCTGCGCGTAGGGCCAGTCACACGGAAGTGATAATTCAGCAATACCGTCTCATCGTGAGAAAATCAATCATCTTTCTTATCTCAGTGAGTCATCAAAATTTTGAACGCATATTGCAATTTTGGGTTTTGCATGGAAAAGAAGAGTGAAAAACCAGCCACACAGCCTTTTTGCAAAGTGTCATGCAGTTGAATCTTAGACTATAAACTCGCTGCTTTCATTTGACCTCAACTTCGTTGACTCTGACACGGGAGAGAGGGTCACCCAATTGCTTCCGATCGCTACCAGACTAACTAAAAAAGCAACAGCCTAAAGTTGTTTTTATAATCTCGCCCGAAAAAACTACTAAGTACCACGACATACAGGCGTTCTTTCTTGGCTCAACTGCCTCAACGAGCGCATTTGCCTTCCGGGATTTGTTCAAGGCAAATAGCACTAACATTGTTGTCAATTCCAGACCACCCCATGTTCTGCAAGATAGCTATCACAGCTGCGTGGGCTAAAGCCGCGTCTGCTTTCTGGTAGAGGCGGGTTCCAGATCCTGTGAAGTTCCATTAAAAGAAAAGTGCAAAGCACCCAGATTTTTTTATCTTTAGCCATCCAATGGATCGCTGTGTTCCAGCCACGCCGTGCCTACGATGCAATCGTGTATCAAGTTAAGGTTATGTACATGACCAGTTTTTACGCTGTCAAAGTCAAACATCACATGGAGTCCATCGAAGCCTTCAAATTTGTAGCAGTGCAGACGTCCCAAGAAGCACGAATATAGAATTCCTATTTCGCATCGTTAATGCCTCAACATATTGTCGGCTACTTTTAATATCGCGCTTCATGCTAAACCCTGATTATAAGTGGACCTTCCACAAATTTAAAACCCGTGGCCTTTTTGTCAACAACAAACAATCTGGGTCGTTAAACACATTCTATAAAAAAGGAGAGTCTGCATTGAGGGTTGTTCTCATTGAACATGACCTTCATGAGATATAGTGGAACTTGGTCGATTTCGATTAGACCACCCTTCGTCTTCTTGTACTTGATGTTTCCCCTTCAGTGCCCCCCCCCGACCGTTAGCCGACTGATCATACCACTCAGTCGGGGGCGAATACGCGAAAGCCATATGTTTCGTACTATCACAGCTATCATCGCTGATTACCGTGGCGCTAGCTATTCAACAGCAAAGAAAGTTCTTTTATCTTTTTTAGCCTGGCTGGGAAAACCTTGGCGCACTCGCACAGCTAGCACTATCAGCCCTCATCTGCCCTTGGCGGCACGGAAGCTGCACTCGCATTGAGTGCAACGCCCACCACTTCCCCGAAGAAGTAGGAACGGCGTGGAAAGTCTCGGTGCAAACCGTACCCGGTCGAAGATCCTGTTACCACGGGTTGAAACATTTAATACTTTCCTCCTGGGCATAATTTGCCAGTTCTTGCCTCTCGTTAAGGTAGCCAGGAACTTTGCATGCATCCGACACGCCTAGTTAGGACCGGCGACATCTGTCGCTTCGATTTGTTCACTGTTGGGAGCGCCTCTTTTAGCGAGGTATCGCACACTTAAAACAATTTTCTAGTGTGTGTAGCAGGTTCCAAAATTTTTATAAATACCAAATGATTTGGTTTTTATGAATATTCAAAAATGCATTTTTTTTAAGTTTCGTATTTACCACAACTCTACCAAATGTGTATGGTATATATTTAT